CTTAGGCTCAGTTTTGACTCTTGTATAAGTACCTTAAATTGTATGATTTTAAATTTGCTTAACTGCTTTGACTAGAGTGTCTATGAATCCAATCCTGAGTGAGTTATGTGCCATGTGTGTGTGAGGTTTGGTGTTATTCTGTGCATTGCATTTGATGCCTAGAACTTGCCCCGTGCGTTTGCAAAGCGAAATAGTAGTGTTGTTCAGTCTTGGAAGTGATATAGGCGTTTTCTTGTTGAGCCAGATATGTATATTTTACCCACCTAATTGTTATGTATCGTAGTTAACCTCTTTGAGCCAATAATCCTTTTTCTTTGGCAACCACATTACAAGCCTTACCCATTTGTTTGAATTAACCATCTATTTGAACCTTTTTACGCTCTCATAAGCACTTGAATTGTTATGAACTTTGTAAAAGTTAAAGTGTGGGGTGGTTGGTTTGGCTTTTGAGTGGAACTAATTGAATAAGGAGAAAGGTGCACTGTTTTGAAAAAAGGAAGAGCCACTTGAATTGAAAAAAAAATATAGTTGGATTGTTGTGAAAAAAAATCCTTGATAAGTGGTGGCTCTTGACGTAAGTGTGCTTAAAGAAGAATGGGGTAAATTTACATTGATGTGAAGGTGGAATTTTGGTTGACATAAGTATGGGGTTTGAATGATAAAGTATATGTATTAAAGGGCTTAGGGAGGTGTAGTCACTCTTATATCTAAATATATCCTACCCGTCTCGTAGCCTACATTACAACCAAATAAAGTCCTAATTGATCCAAGATTGAATGAGCTCGATTAGTAAAGTAGTACCTACGGGCAAGCTTATGGTGCATCTTTTGTGGCATATGAATGTTATTTCTGAGAGTGAGTGAATTCTTTCTATCTTGAGTTCCTAAGTGTTCTTAAATTTTATTGTGTGGAACTACTCTCTTTTGTTGTGTGAGGGCACTTGATTCATGAAGGAAAGGTAATGTCAGTGACCTCTATGTTAGAGTAAGTAGGTGAGTTGTGAATAATGCGTGGCACTTGTGAGTCAAATCTTGAGGTGAAGATGTTACGCTTTTGTGCTTAGTCTATTTTAAATACTCTTGGTGTGATGAGTTAGGAGAATTGTTTAAAAAGGTCGTGTCTATAAAAAAAATG